ACCCACGCCCGCCACCATCCTCCACCCCCTCCCCAGCCCACCACCTCGCCTCCTCCTCCTTCCCAGCCCGCCGCCACCCCTCCCCCTTCTCGTCCCCCTCACCCCCTCCCAGCCCTCCACCGCCCGCCCTCCCCGAAGCCAGCATCTCTTGAGACAGTAGTACGGGATTCATCACATTTGTAGTCAGCATCCCAAACTACACGTCTGGCACTGTCAAGGCCTTCTTGAGTGGCGTTGAGCAGTACCATTGGGATTGGTCTGGTTCCCACGACACCACATACATCACAGAAAAGTCTTATACACTTAGCGACGATCAATCATGGCATTTTGAAGTTGACCCCACAGGCACGGATGTATCCCTCACATCCCAGGAGTACATCTTTTATGTTGCATGAGGAGAATCTCCTGTAACACTCTCTTTGCGGATGGATGTCGCCAAAGAAGAGACTTGGAACTTCTGGCCGTTCCCCTTGTAACACGCGGAGCCTCCTTGCGTCAGGGTGATCTCTTCGTTGTCTGCAATGCAGTATCTTACCATCTGTAAAATGACAGCGGCAAGGCTGACACCCAAACCTACCATCAGGAGGATCTACCGTAGATAGACCATGACTCGGCTGCAGGGAATGAACCTAGCTATAATCCTCCCGTCTACGAGACCAGTTCACTCCATAGGCAGTGCTTCGGTCGCTCCATGCATCCTCCTTGCCGCGGGCCTATCTGTCGGTTGGAATGAGTACAAATTTCACAACGCGCGCACATGGTCCCCGCAGATGTACGTCCGCAGGGACGAGTGGAGATGCTCCATACCCACACACGACCACCCTTGCTCCAGGCATGATTTCGTGATTGCCCCGGGGTGAGCCTCGGCGGGGCCCGGGGCCTGCGCCATGCTGTGGCTCGCCATCCTGATAACGGTGGTGGCCTCCACCGCATCCTCCATTGGGAAGGCCCTGCAAAAACAGGCTACCCTGGGCCTGCCTCGGTTTTCCAGGGACCCCAAGGTCCTGCGCCAGTACCTGGCCTGCCCCACCTGGCTGGCCGGGGTCGCCACGGACGTCGCCGGGGGCGTCATCCAGGTGGCCGCCTTCGCCCTGGCCCCTGTCTCCGTGGTCCAGCCCGTGTCGGGAGTGGGCCTGGTGGGGCTCAGCCTCTACTCCCACGCCGTGCTTGGGGAGCGCCTGTCCCGCTGGGACTGGGCGGCGGCGGCCCTGGCCGCGGCCGGCACCCTGGTGCTGGGGGCCACCTCTGGGGGCGAGGCGGGGGGCCCAGGCGCCGACGCCCCATCCCCCCTGCGCATGCTGGGCGTGCTGGGCGGCATGGCCGCCATGCTGGCGGTCATGCTGGCCGCGCCCGCCCGCCAGGCCCAGGGCGCCAAGGGCCGCCGCGCCCGGCCCACCGGCGCGGCCCTGGGCCTGCAGGCCGGGGCATGCTTCGGTCTGTCCGCGGGGGCTTGCAAGACGGGTGCGAGGGATCAGGCGTGCCGCGGACGAGGATTGTTTCTGTGTTTGGGAGGGGGGTTGTGGAGATGGGCACGCCCTGATATTCGGTGCAGCCCAGCGTCAGTGGCCCCCCCGTGCCTGGCCCGGGTGGATGCCCCACTCCCCCGCTTGTGGAACAAAGCTGAGCAGCCTCGTTGCATGGCACCTCCACACCCCCCTCGATCCCAGCACACACCGGGCCAGACCCTTGACGCGGGCATCGGTGCATCGCCGCAACATCCCCCCTGTACACACCCCCTTCCCTCGAGCAGGCTTCACGCTGGCGGCCGCCTGGGGACCGGCGGCTGCCGCGCTGGGGCTGGCCGCCTCGCTGGCGCTCTCCTCCACCGGCTTCGCGCTGCAGACCCTGGGCTTGAAGGACGGCGCGACGGTGGTGGTCTGCACCTCGGCCGCCGTGGGCGCCATGCTCTCCGGCGTGGGCG